ATTCTCTTCCCGTGTTGTCCCCTCCCAGTTTAGCATTCATGTCGCCCAGTAGAATTTTGATATCGCCAACTGACGTCTTGTCCAGTGTTGATTGAAGTTGTCTGTAGAATTCCTCCTTTTTCTCTTGCTCTGCATTATTTGTAGGTGCATAGCCAGGCATTGTATGATTGTGACCTTCCTTCCTTTTGAGTTGAATCTTGCTGTCATGATCCTGATCCTGGAGGAGATTGGTTCCCACTGCATGAGAGCCTTCGATGCTCTTGAGGACATCATGATAGCCACTCCCTCAGTGTGCTCGTGGTTGTCGTCTGGGTGACACTTTCGGAGTAGATTATTGATTCTCCAGTTGACAGTTTGGAGAGTCCACTCCCATTCCATCTGCTTTCGCAAATCCCAAGCACTTCGATATTATACCTTCTCATCTCGTTTGCAATCTGGGCTGCCTTACTGGGTTCAAACATCGTACGGACATTCCATGTCCCCACGTTTATTTTCGCTTTCATCGAGAGAAGACACATCGGCCAATTGGCTTCCCGAAGGCAGGCTTTCACCAACTGGCATCATTTCGCCTCTCCGATTCCAGCGAGGAATAATTTTGTTTTCATTTTTTATATTCTGTTTGTGCTTTGAAGTTTCTTCAGCGGTTAGATTTGTTTTAGGGGGTAGGGTTGCTAGCCCTATGCCCAACCTTCCCTCTTTATTGGGGCTTATGACCGGCTAGTAACTAGTGAACTAGTTAACCAGGCGATGTTAGTATTCATCATGGACTGACGTTAGTTGGGGAACCACTGGAAATCTGAGAACACTGGACAGCTATTTCGTCCAACTAGTATGGGACTCTTCAGCAGTACGCAACCACGACCCGGCTAGGGATCGAACTCAGGACCTTCGGGTTTCATAGCGAGCGCGTCAACCACTTAGCCACTGGGTTGGTTTCCAATGTGGACAGCGTCGACTTCCAAATTAAAAAATCCCCATTCATCTCAAAATACATTACTGTATAGTGCTCATTAGTGACTTGCTTCCAGATAGATATCTCGAAGCTCTAATGAGAAGCTGTGACATTTAGGTTCAACCAGTCGGAAGTGAAGTGGATGCTAACTGAAGACCTTAGATGATAGTCGCGCTATGTCGTGAAATGACAGAAGTTGGAAACTGTGAACCACTGGAAACCGACTTACTGGCTGAGTGGTTAACGCGTTCTCCGTGAAACCTGGAGGTCCTGAGTTCTACCCCCGGCCGGGCCATAGGTGCGTATTGTTGAAGAATCCCATACTAGGACGAAACAGCTATCCAGTGTTTCCAGACTTCCAATGGTTCCCCAACTGATGTCAGTCCACGATGAATACTACTTCTAATTTAAAAAATCCCCATTCATCTCAAAATTCATAGAGTTAGATCAAAACACAATCTATCAGTATGTAAATGCTCAAATCAGTTTGTTTAAATGCTCTTCTATCTTAAATTTAATGATAGAAAATGCCAGATGTCGTTATAAATTTGAAATAAGAACAAAATATGTTGATGATGATTATATTTGTCTTATCTGTCTTTTGAACGAAAATCGTATTCAGTAGATTTTTGTATGTATTCCATTCCTCATCTTTATTTTTAATACATTTCAAGTCGAATTAAATAATGATGTATTGCAACCTATCAATTGATATTCAATTGTCAGGTTCATCTGTTCAATGTTAAATTTCATATTCAACCTTGCTGTTGTTGAATGAACTCAATGTTAAATTTAATTCTCTTCTACAAAGTGTTTATATGCAAATGCACATATAGACATATTACTCATGCATAAACTGATGTCTAGTTTATTTAGTTAATTAACAAAGAACCTGATTATAGAAAGAACCAACAACTTTGACAACCATTCAATATTCATGCTTTCATTGTACAGAAATTTTGCACGCAACCAATTATTTCTCTTTTATTTACTGCATGACATTTATCTGACTATCTGGATAAATAATTTCGTGTTTACTTGGTGAATATCTTGCTTACAGAATTAACCTTTGTCTGAAATTGTTCTTTTTTCGTGTGCATCTAACACGTCTGGTAATAATACTGATTGAAAATATTTAGTTTATATTCAAGGGTTCAATTCAGTTACGTTGATCACGACAATCCGAAGAATTGTCAGAATTTCCTCCCCCTTCTTAAAGAACACAGTATTTGGGGCTGAAAACCTAGTACACTAACTTAAACTGACATTCATTGTTCCATCCTAATGATCACCTATATGAAGTGTTGGTTTATTAACCATTTCTAGCCTTAACAGCAGATTAACTTGTCTGAAATTTTGTTGAATTGAATATAAGATAGTGGTAACAGTTGAATTGAGTTTCTTATAGAACGTTATAAATCCAAAGTGAAAGATTAGACCAGTCTGAACTTTTCATTTTCAAAAATTCATCCTTTCAAGTTATTCTATCTTCATGATGGTTGCATAAGTTCTAAAGAATATTGTGAATTCTGTACCACATGGCTTGGACAAATGAGAAAATGAGATAATTTTGTTCACTAGTTTGTCGACTAATTACTTTAAAAATGAAAATATAAACACGAGGGTTCATTTAGATTCACTCGGATTTTTTGTGACCGGTTTTTTGAAATGAATAATTCACCATTTTGGTAGTATAATTCTGACACTTTTCTTACTACTCGAAGGCTGTAAATCAGCTTCCGACGGATATTAGTTGTCTACAGACAGATCTTATGATAAGTTGTGGAATGTATCCTTTTTACAGTGGTTATAAAGCTTAGATCGTATTTGACATATCTGTCTTCTGCATACTTCCAAGCTGACTTGCACTTTATAATGTACTGTACTGATTTTATGCTTGATTACTTCTATTTTGCCATTGGATTTCCCCTCGGTATATTTTCACCGTTACCTTATCACCAAGATGGTTTTCACTGCTTCGGTGTCACCAGTTATTTCTTTTCTACACAAATTAAAGTAGCATTGACGCAAAGTAATTCTTATCCTGCAAGCAAATATGAATTCTGTAAGAGATTTTTCAATTGGTCTGTCGGGATTCGGCATGCCTATGTAAGATATTAAGAGAGCTGCTGGTCGTATGCTTCTAAGTGACTACATTGATAAAGTTACCACAATCCACTGACTAAGAAGTTTGATATTTGTGTTACTTTTTTCTAAGTACTTATTATTGTAGAACAGATAAAACAGTTTGCAAGCCTCAGGATGGTCATACCAGAATACGGAAACCAGAAGTAATTGACTACTGATATCGGTCATATGAAACAATTTGGTCTTTGTACAATAGTCCATAGACTAATTTTGCCGATTATAAAAGTAAAATTCATACTAGTTGTGTAACATAGTATCAGTGATTGTGTAACTGACAGCAATATGAACTATTCACCAGGAAAGGAATTGGGTAAAACTATGATGGCTGGTGGATGCATTTATAAAGGAGTATGGGAACTTAGTGAGAAAGCTTATAACTGACTCTCATCATACTACTAGAACACGTAGATGAAGCAGAAAGCGAACACCTTTTTTAGATGCTTATGGTCATAACCCAATCGGACACAGATGAAAACCTGCATCATACTGTTAACCACGTTCATCTGGGTGCGAAAGGTAAATAAATGAGGTCAAATATACTTTTTAGCCTGAAAGATATGCTCAGAAACGAATTGTACCTTCTACTGTGATAGTGTAAATAAGCAGCCCAGAGATATAGTGAGTTAAACGGTGTTGTCGTTTGACTGCATCCAATTGGTCAGTCAAGTATACCGAAACTAAGATGGTCAGCACCCATTGTTGAATATCCATTAAACCATTGTCTATTGACCCTGAGGTGTTATATAACACCTCAGTATTCTCGGCTGTAAGATGAAGTTTTTATTTCCGGAAAGACTACATAATTCATTGAAATAGCCATTGAGATTACTGGAAATTCTTGAAACAGTTTAACAAACTAGTTTTTTTCGTATCCCACTTATTTATCTACGGTATAAAGTTTGATGTGGAGAAGTAAAACTGACGCCTTGCCTTAGTGTACATATCAAGGAAGCCTTTAATACATAACCACTAGTCTAGCTCCCATTAGTGACTAGCTTCGAGAGGTTTTTCCTGAAATTCCAATAAGAACTCATGACCAGTGGAGCCAATCAAGTCGAATACGAGGACAGTTGCTTAACGACGACATTGGATAGAGGTTGCTCTATATCGTGAACTAACATAAGTACGAAATGCAGACCATTAAGTGGCAAAGTGCTGATTACGGAACTTGATAATCCTGTGTTTGATTCCTGGTGAGTCGAGGTCATACATGCGCCCTGCTGAGGAGTCCCGTACCAAGACGAAACAGCTGTCCAGTGCTTCCAGGTTTCCAGTGGTTCTCCAACTGATACCACTTCATGATGAACATTATCTTGATACATAACTTTAACGCAGTGGTGCAAGATAAATATGTCAACCGATTACAGTTCAGTGATAACGTTCTAAATAACCAATAAATTATCATATATGATGTTTACATCTTTATGACTATAATTTACCACTTTATGCTGCAGATATAACAAGCAATCTTGCAAGATTAACTGATGTGTACATGGAGGATAGGATGATAATGAGATACAGAATTTTGATTGTATTCCTCATTATATTCCAGGTGATACATTCTGAATTCCACCTTCCATACTATAATAAGATTCCATCATTTGCTTGATGGTAGCTAGAAGAAGAACCACAGGATGCACATCTCGTCTTATTTGGAACTCGTTAGTATACATCTCAGTGAGTGATAGTTTTCCCAGCACCATTCACTTTAAACGCCAGAGTCACACGAGCCACCACTTGTGTGATGGGTATTATTTGTTATTGATTGATGTTTGTGTAATTTGCCACTGATTATTATGTCAAACCGAAATAAATAGTCACCCTTAGCATATAGAGTCTTTTATAGTAATTTAATAACTTAGAGAACAATGTCAGTATGACTCTAACCAATAGAATACAAATGGTATGGAACAGAATAAGATACCAAGTTCAAAACTAGGACATTTTAGTTATATCTGTCATCAGCATGAGGGATTCAGATGGTCTCCAGCTTATACGAGGGCTTCCCGCTTAACCAGCCTGAAATCCTACCTAACGAGTACACTTTAAACTAGGAAAGGCGGAGCATTAGATTTCTACTACTACTATTACTACTACTACTACTACTACTACTACTACTACTACTACTACTACTACTACTACTACTACTACCACTACTACTACTACTACTACTACCACTACTACTACTACTACTACTACTACTACTACTACTACTACTACTACTACCACTACTACTACCACTACTACTACTACTACTACTACCACTACTACTACTACTACTACTACCACTACTACTACTACTACTACTACTACTACCACTACTACTACTACTACTACTACTACTACTACTACTACTACTACTACTACTACTACTACTACTACTACTACCACTACTACTACTACTACTACTACTACTACTACTACTACTACTACTACTACTATGGGTATTATTTGTTTACAAAGAGAAATGTCTTAATTATCATTGTAAAACTGAGATTACATTGCAATTGCATGTGAACAATACACAGGAACGGTGAACACAAAGCATAAATAATATTTTATCTTCTCAATTGACTGTCTACCCAGCTTGTTGAATAACTATACATGGAATAAGTAACTATAAAACGCGATGTCAGATGACTATACTAGCCATTTTGTTTGTTTACACATGCGGGCGTTGTAGACATGACATAGAAAAAAAAACAGAAAAGTTGTAACTACCATTATTCTCGGCAGTAGTAATATCTTCTAATAACTTCAATCAACAATTCTTATTTGTTTACCCGCTGATAATAGGTGGTGAATACCTATTTAACAAAAGATAACTAACAGATTATTTTAAAATAAAACCGCTACATATTTGTTTTTATAGTAATTAAGTTTGTTTAAAAATCTGTTCGTGCTGAGTAGAATGCTATTTCAACGTCGGAAGGATTCACATCAATACCACTGAACATTTAAGTGGAAAAGTTAGCAAATGAAGCTCAGATAGGATGATTGATTGACTGTAATAAATAGTGAAATATAAATCAAAATAATTTGGTAGTCTAGTGAATAATGATCTGGTGTTTAAAATGATGTATTTTAAATTCAAGTTTCAATGGGAATAACGTCACTCACCGGGAAACAAGTACAACCGGCTGATGAGTGCTAAATCGAAAAAAAGCACATCCTAGATTTTACTGTTAGTCATCATCCATCATTACCGTCAAACTGAAATTACCAACAATATGAGAGCCTATATGTCAGTAGTGGACGGTCAATTCAACTATAGGAAATTACAAGCTGTAACACTAAAACAAAGCAGATTGCATTTTGTAGAGGTTGAATGATCAATTTCAAAGTAGTTATTATCATCATTTGGTGTCAATATGAGATGAAACCTACTGAGAGTTCAAAGAATATGTTTGTCCCTACAAATTCGTAATTCAAACACTACTAATTTCCTATTAGCAGCTGTTTCAAAAAAAGGAATTTCCGAAAGTTGTAATGTAGAAGAATGACATGTAAAGCCAATCAAGTCAAGTGTGAGAACTAATACTCAAAGATGGTATTGGTTGATGATCAGGCTGTATCATGAATGATTGGATTCTAGTTCAGTGGCTAAATGATAGATAACGCTCTCGCCTTGAGACCTGACAGTCTTAGTTTGATCCATCACAGGGTAATGGATACACACTGCTGGATAGCCCTAAAACGGGGATGTGACAAATGTCAAGTGTTGACAAATATACAATATTCCTCTGGTTGATACCAGTTTGTGACAGAAACTATGTTGAAGACAAATTAAAATAGTTTGTATAATAAGTAGTAAACACCAAATCTGTTGATAATGTGCCTGATAATTATTTGAAGGCTATAAAGTTTCCTGTATTTATAGGGGTTTCAGGATTGTAGTGCAAATTTCTCAACTTATTCATATGAATAGAAGGTCTACTGCATAACCAATTAGATAAGGTGAAAATGGGTGGGATGCAAATGTATCAGCACCAGGTTATTCGTACTAGGGTGGGAACAATACATATTCTGTTGAACTATAACCTTCAGATTCCACCTCATGATGATCGCTCAGTTTCTCGATTTATGGAAAAGGCGGTAATATGGCAGAAGGTGTATTGTAACGTCAAAAATATATACCAAATAAAAGAGTTTTTATATCGCATTAATGATACTTGTAATTTCCTGTTGCTATACAGGGTCGAATTTCTCAACCTCTGTTGACAAATGGTCTCTTACGTAAATATTTCGATACCGCCAGACATTCAGGATGTTATTTTGACCTTGGCGACTAGAAAGGAAATCCAGGATCCGTTTCGCCCCACTTGGGACTCCTCAGCCGGAAATACCTGCACCCTAATGAGCGGTGTTTGCCCCCTCGAGGCTCGAACTCAGCACCCTTCGCTTTAAACGCCAGAGCACTATCCACCAAGCCACTGGGGTACGGCAGCCACCTCTTGTATTGATGTCTTTACGGTGGCCTTGACTACTTTCAGGCCTTTCTAGGTTTGAATGTCCTATTGTTTTTTCGTGTTTTCAACTAATCTGAAATTTACACGTTGGTTCACGTGATTCTTCATGAAATTTCGGAGCAAAACGATAGGTTGTAACAGGCTTTGGGGCTTTATCGCTTCCTACGAAAATTTTGCCAATCTTACAGCACACTATAACACTAAACTCATTAGGTAGTGTATGATTCTTGTCCTAATACTTTGGTTGATAATTGAACCTGTTGGCTGGCGGTGCACAGTTTTAGTTACTAAGTCTAATGAATTAATGATTAACTAGTACTTAATTGACTAGATTCTGTTATTCTGCTCTAGTTGTTGTTTTTTCTGTATGTATGTTCATGATGGGGAGTGTATGTGTGAACTGAGTCATAATAATGTTTATCAATCTCACATGAGAATTATTCATTTGTTAATTCATCTACAGAAATTGATATAGTGTAAGTATTCACTGTCTAAATTGGGATGTCCGAATTCGGAATAGATGTAGGATAAGTTCCATTTTTCTTTTTATCTATAAGTCTGTTCTAATATCAAGACAAAAGGCTTACAATGTCATGCTCTGGTGAACGCTACTTATAAGAGTGTATATCAGCAGTAAATGACGTAACACTAGAAAACACGGAAGAGTGATAACGATCTATCAGTGAAGATTCGAAAGGGGTGATGTTATATCCCGGGTTGACTGTTAAAAGTGCTCTTAACCTCGGTTTCAGTTTCCTGTTTGGCTCTATAATTAGTGGACTGAGGGGGATATCGAACCTCGCTCTTATCTATTGTTGTCACACCGAGTTGCTGTGTTCGAGTTGACGTTAACACCATTAATGTTACACCAGCTGCCTCATAGTGAAGACTAAGTTAAATTGTTAGCTCACACAATGCACATTTATATTGTATCTACCAAAATATATGAAAAATGTACACGGCTTCAAGAAGGTTAACAACGGCCTAATGAAGATATCAACAAATGAGAACATGAGATGGACACGCTAAGGACATTCATGATTGATTGGTTGTTATTCGCATTCTTTCTTCTTATATACATAACAGAAGAAGACAATATCGACTATTAAAATATACAGGCCAAGAACAGTTAACATTGGTATGCCGAAAAGGAAGAGTGACGGCTAAACTGGCCTTATTGTATTGTTAAATATTTTGACCATTACTAATTGAAAATTCCTAATGAAAAAATATCTGCTTCATTCGTCTTCTCGTCATTACCAAAGCCTCATCTCTACTAAGGTGATCTGAACAACTAAACTCTAATCAGTCAAACAAATAACAGTAATACTGAAACACATTCTTGACTAAGTTTATTTGATCAAGTAGGTTGACTTCTTCCGGACAAACTGTTAATTACTGCTTCATATTCTCTTTTTAGACAAGATTATATAAAGCAGATGAGGATAGACTATATCACAACATTACTTCTAGTAACTTTTGCAGTAATGCCAAAAAAAGTCACTTAACATCTTTGTATGTTTCGTTAAGAAGTGAAAAACGCTACAATTTTCAAGATGCAAATACAGATAAGAAAAACTTGACCTATGTGGTTGTTCAGATAATTCGAATACTCATGATGAAGCGTAAATGTATACATATTATTGTTGGTCAAAAGTTTTCTCAGTCAACAGAGAAATTGTCAAGACATTTATTCATAATAACCTAAAATCCCCCACACAAGTATTATTTTATCGATAATCAAAATACTCAAAGCATGGAAGCTAAACCACAGCTATCTCAAGTAGTCAAACTGATCATCTATATGATGTTCGACCTCTTTAATTCAGTTAGATTTGGATTAGAATGAGAAGTCCTAACTTGGCAACCAGTGTGAATATGATCAAGCGATAGTAACGCATCAGGAATTCTCATTGTAATCGGGTAAATCTGCTTATGATTAGAGTGAAATTAAGATCTGGTCAGTGGCCGGGTATCGTAGCTCAGTCGGCTGACACTCTAGAAGTTGGTGGTTCAAATCCTACCGCTGCCCAGATTTTCATTTCATCCCCCTAATCACCCAGTATTTATGACTTTCGGTAATTTAATAAGGAATGAGTTGGTACTATATACTCATTCTTATGAAGAGAAACTGCGACTGAATGGTTGTTTTCAGATTTGTGTAGTGGCCTAGTTAGTTGGAGTTGATTTGAAGCTGAAATCTATAGGTAAAAGGTTAATTGTTTACATAAATTTTATGGTCAAGAAAATCCTCAGTGTTCAAGAATTCACTGTCATCTATGATTTACATTTATACGAACTGATTGAATAAATATAGGAAAAGCGAATTGTTAAATTTATTTAGCGTTAAATTAACTGAATTGTGTTTTTATTCAACGCCAACTAATTTCAGCCATCTATGCTTCAAGCATCTGCATAAGAACAAAGCAAAATCATTAAAAATACCAGTTTTACATCTATAGAAAAGGTGTATAATAAGTGTAACTCAACACTTTATTAATCGTTCTGTCCCGATACTACCTCATCCACCTAAATATCATTATATATGCCTGTTTTCACAGGCTTATCTTTATCCCTTGTTTAGTTATGATTAACTCAAGTTGATAGCTTCTGTCTAATACCTCTTACAGTGTCAAACGTCATGTTAATGGTATATTGCTTGTTTGATGATGAAATTTATCTGAAAAACACTATATATGAAATCTCTCGAGCCGACCAAATTCCACACCTAAAATATTCACGAAGGTTCTACAGGTGAAAAGTCTTACATGAAGTTTAATCATTCCCTGTTCTAGTCTTATTTGCTAAAAATCATGTACCTGAGATCATGCAATGTAACTAAGTAATTGTTTACGGGTTGGTGTACTGCGTTCTGAGCTACAGGTTGTATGATACCTTCATGTCACTAAGGTGAAAGTCTTTGCAATGGGTTTAAACACTCTATTCAGTGTGTACTAAGTACTTGAGTAGATGAATCTTATTTTGATGTTCAGGATAGTATGCAATG